CAGTGCCGCATGTCGCGCACACTATCAACCGCCAGCGCCCAGGTATCGACAGTGGTCATGGTCGCATCTTCCCGGCTTTGCCATCGCCAGCTTCAGCCCAGATTGGCAACTCGGTGGTCTGCAGTGCAAGACCAGAGAAAGCAAGTGACAGATTAGCTAGCGGTCATCATCTCCATCTTCATTCGTTAGTCCATCTACCGACCCGACTTCTGGCTTGCCCTGGTACGCCACGCCGGGCTTGCTTGCGAACTATCAAGTTCAAGACGATCCATGGTGGAGGAAGTGTGCGCGTCGTGGGACCGGACTATTGCTCGATTGAGATGTTGTCCGGTTCTGGCCGGGATTCGCAACTCGTGAGGACTCCAAGTCGGGGCCCGACTGTGAACTCCCCAGGCCAGACTCAGTTTGGTAGTCCAGTGTCGTGGTTGATAGATGGCCCATCTGCCATGCCCCTTGCATGAGACCCGATGAGAGACCTGATAGCGTTGAAGCGCGGCCAATCAGTTACCACCACGCCGAGGAGCGGAGAGTTGTTTCAGCGCAGCTCCTTGGGGCGAGGACGGCATGTCTAATTGGACTGCATACATGCTGCGTTGCGCCTCTCAGAGTGGCGCCGTGCAGCGATGTGCTGATTTCCCCGCGATGCGTTGTTTTTTGCTTTTTCTTTGCCCGTCGTCTCTCTGTCCCCCTCGCCTAACAGTGAGGTCGTGCCGGTGCTGGCGCTGGTGGTGACGGAGGGAAACCGAACGGTTATCGAGGCTTGCTGACAGGATCAAGCATACTGATGCTAAAAACGAGTCGGAAATCCATCGAGCCGGCGCAGCGAAACGGTCGCAAGCTACACACACACGCACACACACACAATCAACGTCCACACCACGACGCTTGTAGACATGGCTGCTAGGCCATGCCATCCCATCCCGTTCCAGGGCAGCTCCCGAGCCCAGACCCAGCCCTCGGGCGGGTTCGTGTGTGGTGTGTATGGCTGGCGTCTATTCGTAGTGTCGTCTGGTGTGTGCCAGCCCTTCCTTGACTCGCTCACCGCTTCGGGAACAAGACGTGGGGGACCCAGGCTACTTGAGTTAGGCGCCCCAAGTCGAGTAGCGACCGGCGCGATAGTTGACCGTTCACAAGTCTAGGTACTGCACAGCTTCGCAATTGAGTTCCTGAAGCGATCGCGACGTCCAGTTCGCCATAGCCTGGGTGTAAAGAAAGCATCGAGGGAAATTCAGTGGTTGGTCTCTAGCTTTGGTGTCATTGTTCTCGGGTTTTGCAACACCGGAATTGGCAATGGGCGGGCGTAGTAGACAGCCCAATGCATGCCGCTTCACTGCATTGCAGGACAAGCGCGGTACAGCCTCTGATGTGTGTATCCGGACAGACTCTGCAGGACAGACAGCACGAGCTGTCATGATGTCGTGTCTCGTCAGATGGCTGCGATGTGCCTGATGGGTTGTGTGGTGGTTGTGCGTGCGTTGCGGCAGACAGGACAGCAGGCAAGGAAACGTGCTGCGGGGAACCAGACAAGGGCCCTGGCGACAGACAAATTGCTTGCATGGAAGCGAGGGGCCGAGGAAGGGATTCGCGCAAAACGAGAGGTTCATGTTGCTTTGCGTTGTCCTGCAGGCGGAGAGCGTTGGTTCCAGTGAGGGGCGAGGTCAAGGCGAGGGGTTGCAGTTGCGGTTGCAGTCGCCGTTGTTACAATCGGAGCCGCCATCTGCACCGTTGCGTGCCATGGATCGAGCGGGCAGGTAGTCAGTCGTCCAGCGGCTTTTGGCCATCACGGGATGTTCCCGGCCATGCTCACCTTGCGGTCGGTGGCGAAGACGATTCCATTGCGCTGGTGTTGGATTTGTGAATAAATGGCCCGGCACAAAGGCAAGAAAGAGGGCGTGCCACAGGTAAGGCAGGGTGAGGTACGTATTTGGCGGGCGGGCGATGGATGACACGGGCGTTGAAGACGACGACCTCACCGCAAGTTGACGAGTGCGAGGTCTGTGGTAGGTATTGGGTATGGACGGATCGTGGAATGGAATGTGGCTTTGCGGTCGGTGGGCGAGTGAGGTCAGACGTTGGATACGAAGTACGTAGTTGGTAGTGTTCATCGAAGTAGAAGTGGAAGTCGAAGCCCGCGCCTGGAAGGGCAAGGAACCTACGGATGAGAAAACGGAGTGGACGGGAAGCTGAGTAAGGTACCCCTACGCAGGGAGTTCCCAGCAAAGATACCTTACCCTTCAGATAAGTCGAGCAGGGGTACAACATCCCAGCCTCCCACTGGTGACTGACTGCGTTGCCTTTTTTTTTTTTTGCCTTGCGCTTTTCCATACTTGAGATGTTTTAGAGGCAGACAGACATGGCTCTTGCGCCGTTTGCCGGCCAGGGCGTCCTGACCGTCCTTCCCTCCTTTTTTTTTTTTTTTTTTTTTTTTTTTTTTTTTCATCCTTCGCGGCAAGGCCTGTCAGGAACGTTTATCGTCCGAGTAAGGTTACTCAGGCCAAGACTCTTGTTTTGTTCCTCGGCACCGCTTCCTGGAATTCGTCGTTTTCTCTGTGTTCCCGTCTCGGCCTCCAACACACACAATGGAGTCTTTCAACAGATGGACCAAACTGTGCGCATGCAGGCCAATGTGCCATTGAGCCCGAATTAGCATCATCCAATGCTGCCGTCGCCGGACCGAGCGGCGGCGCACTGCAAGTTGGGTTGGGTCAGGTTGGGATGGGACTTGATGGGCCTTACCTTACGGATACACGTTGTTGCATGCTGCATGGTCTGTCCTTGGCTGCACCTGCGCATAGAAATCTGCATGAGATCTATCTTTTTCACGTTGCTGCTGGCGCAACCATTGCTTTTTGGGCTGCTGTCTTGCATGTCCATCACCACCACCACCTCCTCCTCCTCCACCAGCAGCCTGCTTCACGTTCTGGCCCTGCTTTAGCTCTGTCCGGAGAAGGGGGGATTAGGGCCTGTCATTGGCTGATCTGTTTAAACGCCATCTCTGTGCCTTGCGTAGGAGCGGCCTTCAACATGCCGTCAGAAATCAGCAAAAGACCACATGGCACCATCCAGGCCATGCCATTGCGCTGTAACCAAGTATCTTCCAGCCTGAACAGCCTCACATCACCAATTCGGCCTCATTCAGGGTTGAAGATAAGGCAAACAAGAGTTCTGCTGGGCGAAACATGGCTGCCGTCTAGAATGATGTCTGGTTAGGCTCTTCATTTGACTCGAGTGCTTGTCGTCCACCTCACCTCGTTCTCGTCATCGGCATCCAGGCGGCAGCTGTATCGTGGGACTAAAACGCCAAACGGCGACCAAGTCGAAAATTAGAAACATGATCCGTCTGCCAATTGCCTCCCGTAGCAGCTCAGGTGCAGCAAAACGCTATTCCCCTCCTCACCCCCTCTTTCTCCAACTTGCACCCCTGTTCTTGTGTCCTGTGGCCTGTGCCTGTGCCTGTGCCTGAGCCTGAGCCTGAGTGGCGCAAAGCCAGACTTTTCCACGGGCTGCTTACGGCGTAGGTGTGTTGCTCAACTCTTACGGATAGAGGCGGGCGGGCGGCGGATTCTTTCAACAGCACACCAACTGTGACAAGACCAAGCAGCTTCGCACAGCTTCCACCCCCCCTGCCCCCCCCCCCCCCCCCCCCCCCCCCTGGTCAAGAACCCCGACACATCTCAACCTCCGATGGCCCGCTTTGGATCCACGTCTCCACTGCCTTGAACTCGCTTCGTGCAGTGCAGTGCGGTTCGTTCGTTTCTCACTTCCTCTAACCACGGACCACTTTCTCTTCCAATGACCACAGACACGACACGCCTGGGGACAGAACCAGGAACAGTAACAGGAACAGGAACAGGGACAGGAACCCGCAACTAACCACCACCACCACCACCACCATCATCATGTTGCCCCCACCACCCACCCACTGCTGCCGCCCACCGCCCGCTCCGCTTCAGAATCTGCCAGACCGAGAGAAGGCCTCTGTTTCTCCGTCTGTAAGAGCTCTCTTCTGGCACTCTGTTTCTTCCTCATACTCGCTACCCTATTCTGAGGGCCTGCACCATGGGAGCCCCTGGATGCGTCCGCCGAATATGTCTCCTGCGGGATTATTCAACTCACAACTCACATGCCGTCCTCCAAAGCGGGTGCACGGGTGTACAGCTTATCCCTACAGAGAATTCGTACTCTGTACCCTGCCCTGTCATGTTTCCCTCTTGCTGGCTGTCCACGCCGCCATCTGCAGCCCAAGCCAAGGCCATACAAAATAGGGCGCCATTGTGAGTGTACAAGTGCACATACTATGTACATGCCTGGATCGTCTGTCTACCCTGCCTAGGTACGCAGCAAGTGGTTGGATGGACGGCTGCGGAGTGGTCCAAGGTGCCACCTCCCACCACCACACACACACACACACCACACCACACCACAGTACCTACTTGCTGAGGTACTATGGTACACGTCCTCCCCATGTTAGTGCTGCCGCAAGTGCCGCATCCAAGGAACCATGGATGTACCCTTTCACATCTTTTCTACACCGCGCAGCTGCACTTCGTACATAACCCAGGGTCTCGTCCACCACTCTCCCCTTTGGTCTCTCTGCGCGAGCCTCCTCTCTCGTCTCCAGCCCTTTCCTTTCCTTTTTCTTCTGAAGGTCTCCAGCACCAACCGGCTCCAAGTGTCCTGCTTGGAGTTGTGGAACCTCACTCACTTCACCCAAATCCTCATCCTGACCTGGTCCCAAGGTCAACCCGCCTGAACCGTTTGTTACCCTCTCCTTCTTATTTCCTAGCTGTTTATTTCTATTTCCTTCTCCTTCTCTCGCCCAAGTGGTCTTATTTCGCCTCCCTCGACAAGGGAGAGTCCAGTACTCGACGTTGGGGACTTGCCCATGGTATAGGCGTTTACTTGCCACGCTGGAACGTAATCTTGTGTGCAGTGATATTCGAGAAAACGGAGATGTTACCGGGCTGGCCCATACAACACACGGAGGCACGAATGCTAATATGTCGACAATGAGATATCTCTTGGTTACGGCATGGCTCGCGAGTCGCTCGACTCCAAGCAGAGCATCCTTGCTCAACGCGGACGAGGGTATCGACAGCACCATTAACGATGAAGATGAACGACTTGGCAAGGGGAAGGGCAAGGGAAAAGGGAAAGGGAAAGGAAAGGGTAAAAACAGAGACCAAGGTCCGTCTGTAAACCCAGAGCTGGAGCTTGCACCCGGCGCCAACACCGAAGCCTTGCCCGCCGTACTTGGACCGGGCCGAGTTGACGCACCTACCGACGGAGCCATCAACAACGGCTTGGAAGAAGCCAGAGGTGGCGGGGGAACAGAAGGTGCGGTCTTGGAAAGAGCACCCAGTATCCAACACACAGCACAGCACAGCACAGAGCACAGAGCTTTCAATGTTTACTCTCAAGCGGCCGCTACACCTGTGTTTTATGTTGCTCTCACCTCAGTGGACGACCTCCGATCGCCTCAGAACAAACACATCTTTACTACATCACCCACTCTTCGGATTCCTCTGGACATTTCCTAACGTCTTTCATCTCATTTGCGTGTATCGAACCTTGATGCTAACTCAACTCACAGGCGTGACAGCTGAGGAACCACCACCACCTCCCCCGCCGCCAGAGGAGCCCCCTCAGCAAGAGCCTCCTCCGCCTCCTCCACCTCCTGAGGAGCCGCCGCCGCCGCCTCCTCCACCACCACCCCCTCCTCCGCAGACCACTCCCCAGGCGCCCCCTCCGACAACTTCTTCACAGATCAGACCATCTCCGACGACGTCTCTACTTGTTCCTGTACTTTCTACTTCACGACCGGTGGCTTCCGTTATTTCTTCCTTTTCAACACCCAGCCTCCCCCGAGCGACCCTACCTGTTCCTAAACCTCCTCCTCGCTTTAGCTCAACACCCGTTTTCTCTGTGCCGAGTTTCCCTCAGCCGAGTTCACCACCGTCAAGGCCGCCACCGCAGAGTTCATCAACTCCTACCTTCGTTCCTCCGCAAAGTTCATCCACGTCTATCGTTGTACTGCCGCCGCCGCCGCCGCCGCCTTCGCCTCCCACGACAAATCCACCTGTCCAGACATTGCCGCCTGCTCAACCAACTGATGCCGGTAGCAGACCTCCAGTCTCTCCGGCGCCGGCTGCACCAAGCTCAACCTCGTTGACGGACCAGCAAGGTGTCATGGCTGGCAACGCACAGAACTTCGAGGGCGACCGAAGCCTCGTCATCGCCCTCAGTACCGTACTCTCGGTACTCGGAGTTGCGCTCATCGTTCTCACCATTTGCCTATGCTACCGCTACCGCTACGGCCGGCTCCCTCTCGCCCCTTGGCGCAGACGGGGCCCATTCAGTCAACGCGGGTGTACGCCCATTGACGACGAGGAGATTGAGTCTTGGAAGGCCAACCGAGCCATTGAGAAATCGACGACAATCGTCATTGACAAGCACGATCCGGCTCCCACTGTCCGCAAGCCGCCCAGCGTTATCGTCTACCAGACTCACCACCACTCGAACCAGTCTCGTGCCTCGTCCGAGATTTCCCCTCGGTCTCCGTATCACAAGCGCAGTATGGACAAAAAGAGTATGGATGTTCCGAACACTCCCGTCCTCGCTCGGGCGCCCAATGCTCGCGTCGGTCTGACTGACGACACAATCGAGGGAGACGCCGCCTTCCTCCCTTCACCGAAGCGCCAAAACTCGAGGCTGTCCAAATTGCCACCACTCTCACCCCGCAATGGTCACGGCAGACACCGCAGCTCCCGCAGCAGTGCCAGCGTCGGCAGCCTACGAGACCACTGGTTCGGCTACCAAACCGACGTTGAGCTCTCACCACGAGGCTCCATCGACCATTACGCCCACATGCCTTCATCTGCGCACTCTGATGGTAGGCACCAGCGGATCTACTCCGACTCCTCGATCCCTCCGCGGCTGTCTCTCGACGAGGACGTACGCATGGGTGGCCTTTCCCCCCGACCCTATCTCCGGCAATCTGAGATTGGCATTGCCGTAGGCTGAAGCTCCGATTCGAATTCTTGCCTTCGCCGAGAAGTCACACCCCTGGCGAAGTGCCGTGTCTTACTACCTAACTTTTTGCGCGAAACCCTGCAAACGATTGCGGCTACCAATACGCACCGCACGCAACCACAACCCACACTCGTTTCAGCTCTTGCGCTATTCCCGCAGGCCTGGAAAGTGCGGGGTGCTATCTTGTGAGCACTTGTTTCACAAACCGATGGATGGCAAACATATCACAATACTTTGTGTGTGCGACTTGGTACCACACGAGTGAGGTGGAGGTTACCCGGGAACGGCTTTTGCCTTATTCAAGAACGAGACGGGGCAACACCTGTTGCCACCGCCGCCGCCGTTGAACTTTTGGGTTTTCGATGCCTTCGATGAACCGTCTTAGCCAGGAGCCTCTGCTGGGCGCGAGGCACACATACACAGCACTCCTCTCAAATGTTCTTCTTAACTGAATGAGCATTCGGCAGTGCACTGCATGGACTGAGTCCATGGAGAAGACACGTAGATGCCCTTGACGGCATCTCATTTTCCTTTGTCTTACGGAGCCATGAACTTCGAAACACCAACATCGGATTGGTGATGGACGGAAATACCCCTACGAATGGACTCATCACAGAAGCTGCAAAGGCGGCCAATTTTCCTTAACTTCATCACACTAGGGCACACACAAGTTGGATGAAAGAGCCCGATCGCAAAGAATACAATCTATACAAACCATCTTCTTCTACCCATGCGATGTCAACCGTGCCACGTCAGTGACCAGAATAACTTTGACCCTAGCCCAGCGAACCATCTCATCCTCGTGCAGGCATGGTATAGCATCATTGTGGCGATCACGGCATGCAAGTCATTCTTAGCTCCGTCCCAATGAGGAACTTGTTGCGTACCGTGAGGGGTCGACACGACGACCTGTCGTCCCAAGTAAGCACAAACGCCTCCCGACGCCAGCCATGGCGCTGAGCACACCGCTACATCCATTATTAGTGAAACAAACAGCTCACTGAGAAGGTGGGGGGAAGGCACGATGGTGGATGGCTCCGACGTTGCCCAGCGTTCGTGAGGAAAGGCAATTCTCTCTTGGTATCGTGACCAAGGTTTCCGCGTTGTTGGTCCCACGCACGCACGGGAGAAGAAGGGGCGGCAAGCCACGCCTGCCACAGATGCCATCCCAGCATAAGGGATGCGATGACGGGCCCGATGTGAAACACCGCGCTTCGTCGTCGGATGGGTGCGCGAATGACAGCGGAGGTTGGCGAAGGGGCGACGGGGCGGGGTAGACAAGGGTTCACTTTGGAGTTGTAGAAAGAGAGAGAGAGAGAGAGAGCGACTTCCTCGGGAACACTAAGTTCGCCAAGCTCAGTCTGTGGATGGCTGGGCAGCAAGGCAGATGAGGAATTGTGGACGGCAAATCGTTGCCCTAGTCCAAGAGGCCTGTCGATCCAAGAGTGTCAGCCTTTTAGAGCCATTCGATTAGATACTCGATGCAGGTCCAGATCGGGGCATGCATATGTGTGGGGGTGTAGTAGTTGACAGGTGCCTCCGAGGTTGAGTTTGCTTTTCTTCGGGGTTTGACTTCTTTTGACAGATGTCCTCGATCAAATAAGTCTCTTTGGGGGGAAAGAGGTGGGCTGGCGTGATCCAGCCTTTGCCTGATGCATCCACGATAAAAGTTCTCTCACATGCGAGTTCGCGACTTCTTGGCGACTATTGTCTGCGAGAGCGGGGTGCGACGCCGACGGGCGGCTTCAGGTTGGTTCGTCCGGAAGAGCTTCGACCATGCGGGACAAGATGCCATTTTCTCAAGGACATGCGGACAGCAGCGATATTCACGGTGGGTCGGATAAGGGGCACATGATGAAGAGGGTATCCCGCGCTCCTCGCTTCGCAGCCTTGAGGTTCGCGAAGATGCTTCTCGTTGTCGTTAAGTGCGACAGGTGCAGGAGGTAAAGATGAGATGGTTAAGTGAAGCACATGAGATTGTCGTTTTCCCGAAATCATGAAAATCATTGAGGGCTTCCATCGTGGGATGGGATCCAACAGTTCCTTGGATAAAGACTAGTGCGATTATTCGTATCTGAAAAGAAGACAGTCGTTTGAATACGAAAAGATGTTGGGCAGCAACTATGCGGTGAAATCAGTAGTGAAGTAAGAGGTGATGTTGTTCAGTGAGATGAGTAATCAAGATGGGCCTGGGGCAAAGGGAGATCGAAATGCACTTAACGCGTCCATACCTACTGCGGTATGCTCTGGGATAGTGGGGCACTCACTACCTTTCCTAGGTACTCGAAAAGTCGCGTCTACCTTGCAACGCACGACGCGCCGGCGAGTCGTCAACTCGCTAGGTTGGTTGTACGGATACGTTGGCCGACGACGGGCGAGCGCAGTCGCAGCAGCCGGGTGCAGTTGTTGCAGTTCACATTGGCTCTCACTCCCGTTGCAGTCTCCACCCACCACCACACCATACCTTACCATACCATCATACCTTACCTTACCTTACTCTCACGACCAGAGCCTCCCTCGACCTCCCCTTTCCTTGCCTGAGTGACATTCTCACGCCCTCCGCCTGCGGAAGCGATCGACGGCCATGGGATTTGAGTTGAATTGAAGCTCCGTCTCTTTCAATTGCCAACAAACTCACAAGTCCACCTCCCAACCCGACGCTGGCTCACGACAACCACGGCGCATCCCGCAAAGACACCCAACCTGACCCTGGTCTCCCCTGAGAAGCAGCCCAGAGCAGCACTCAGCCCGTCCGTGGGTGAAAAACTTCAACTTCTCACCAATCCACGCCCGCGTTTACGCCTACGCCACCTTCTCTCACCGCACCTCCCGCGCGACATCATCTCGCAGAAACGAGCTGCCCGCGTGCATCGCAAACTCAATCCGTGCCTGGTCTTTTTCTCCGGTCACACAACCGCCACCCTACCACCGTACAACACCTCTCTCACCCACAACCCGCAAAGTTCACCCACACAGACAAACTGACACAAAATGCCTCCGCGCAAAAGCGACGCCAGCCGTAGGAGCGACGTCTCCACCGCCCGATTCGCCGTAATGGACGAGGACCCGGCCACCACCCCGACCACGGGACCGACTCCCGCTGCTCCCGCAACTCCCGCCGCCGCCGCTTCCACCGCTCCTGTCTCTGCGGCGCCCTCCAGTGCCGCTGCCGGAGCGAAGTCGACACCCGAGTCAGCCAAGGTGTCTTCATCAACACCTCTCACGATGACGACGGTCTTGAACGCTGGATCTGACAAGAAGGACTCTGAGAAGGCACCGAAGGAGAAGGCTGACAAGGATTCTCTGACCATTGAAGTATGTGCTCATTATTCACGTGTATCTCGGTACACGGGGGAGGAAGAGACAGACACATGCAGAAGAATGAATACTAAGCTTACACATACATCATCAGGACCTTAACTTACCCAAGTCCATCATCACAAGACTGGCCAAGGGTGTGCTACCTCCACAATCTCAGATCCAGGCCAATGCTGTCTTGGCAATGAGCAAGAGCGCCACAGTCTTCATCAACTACCTTGCAGCACAGTGCGTTCACCGAGACAACCCCCTTTGATGAATGTTCTTGAAAGATGTGTCCCGTGAAGCAAATGTGCCCCCGACATGGGCTTGTTATCGTGGAAGGATCTGAAGGCTGACTTTGTGTGACTGAAGCGCTAATCAAAATACTGTCAATGCCAACAAAAAGACGGTTAGTGCTGAAGATGTGTTCAAAGCTCTTGAAGACATTGAGTTTGGGTTTCTGCGAGAGCCTTTGGAGCAGGAGTTTGCGAGTGAGTCAAACCCGAGATTCCAACTCACGATACCAAAACGACCATCACTTCACCAACCATCCGAGGCTCAGCCTGCCTGATACTACCTGACACCTTCCGGCATATGCTCGAGGCTCAGCCGCTAATTGTCTGTCCAGAATTCAACCAGATACAATCTGCGAAGCGCTCCTCATACCGCCAAAAGGTCGCTGCCAAGAAGGGCGGCGCAGCAGCAGGCGCTGCGGCAGGAGTCGCTGGGGCTGCAGCCGCCGCCGCATCTGCAGATGATAGCATCATCAGCACTGCTTCTGCCGACGGTGACGCCCCTAGGGCGAAGAAGGCCCGCGTTGACGAGTCTTCCATGACCGTCGACGAGGCTGACGACGCCGAGACGGAGCCCGAAGAGGAGGCCAACGAGGACGAAGACGAAGACGAAGACGAGGAAGCAGAGGAAGAAGAAGACGAGGACGAGGATGAGGGTGAAGGCAGCGGCGAGGAGACGCAAGACGCTTTGGAGGAGAAGGAGGAGGGCGATGAGGAGGATGTCGACGAGGCGATTGACGGCGACGAGAGTGATTAGTACGCGATGACCGCCACAGACCGGCGGAGGCATTATCGGTGCCTCACTCTGAAGCCAGCTGGAGCTGCATACGGTATTGGCGAAGCATGCGGAGTACGTGGGCGATGGCGTCCGCACGTTCATATAGACGGCCTTTCGTATGTATTTGTCAAAAGTCCTTGAAGCGGAAATGAAGCACTCATATCTGCCACATTCACGATCTGTTCATTTACTTCCTGTTATCTCTCTCCTACGCTTCCACCCGATCCTGCTTGGCCACTCGCCCAGTCGAATGATCTTTGTTTCTCTCTTGCCTGTTGCCTTTCACACCTCTCTGTCTATACCCGATCCCGGGCTCTCGCGGACCCCCTTCCAAAAAACAACATCGCTATCACCTGGGTTCCCGGAGTCCTGATAAACTTTCTCAATAGCCATGTCAGCTCCGCTTGAAAGATGGTAAACTTGCCAAGTGACCAGTTCCCAGAGGACAACCCCACCCCCTGCTGAGCTCCGTTCCTAGCTTACCTACAACAACAATAACGTTCAAGGAAAACGAGTCAAAAAGGAATATGAAAACAAAGTAGCTTAACAACAGACTACCCCACAACCGAACTCCGGTCTCGTTCATGCTCAGTCTCGTGTCTTTTTTTCTTGCAGACTGAAAGACAACCAGCGAGTAACGCACATGGGACGATGACGACCTAGAAGAAAGCCGTTGTATTAAAACAAAAAAGGCAGGCAACCCAACTTCTGATTGGCGCCGCCTGTTCGTTGCCTTTCCGAACGTTTGGTTTTCCTCCCCCAAAAAAAAAAAAAAAAAAAAAAAAAAAAAGCCAATCCATTGTTTCGTTTCATTCAGCCTGAAATTCACCTTTTCTTCTTCCACAGTTCGCCTCGACCTTCTCCTTTCGACTCCCTTTTCGTACATCTCTTGTGGTTTTTCCTTTTCCCACGCGCCCTACTCTCCCCCAAGAGTTCCTCCGGCGATGGGGCTGGCCACATGTTCAGGGCATACACACACTACCGCCCCCCCTCCCCTCCCATTCATTATATTTAACCCCCAATGGCGGATTCAGACGAGACGAAACATCCCACACAAACCCGTCATAAACCTCTTTTGGTCTCTGTCTCTCTGTGTCTCTCCACACCTGTGTCCGTGTCACCCGTTCTGTCTCCCGGGCCCTAATTACGAGTAGGAGCAAGTCTTCACCGCTACAAACAGACTCAAACCTTCGTCAGCGGTCTGGAATTCAATGGACGAAATACGATTTCCGGTCGGCTCCGAAGACTAGACAGATCATCGTTTCTGCATGTCTCAGCGCCAAATCTTCGTCGTCCTCGCAGTTCCCAGCCCTATTCCTTGCATGCCGCCAGATCCTCTTGGGAATTCTGACGACCCTATCGCAATATCTGCTGGCTTACTTCTCCAATGCGACGATGCTTTCCCCTCTCACCCAGGCAGAGACTAGACTTTTCTATATGCGATGAATAAGTTGCCTCCTTTCTCCCGTCCGATGTAAGCCCGCCCATGCCGTGTGGAAGCGCGCCACATTATGTCCCGCGCCCCGTCTTTCCCGACTCTCCCGCCGGTGGCGGATCCGAATATGCCGGGACGTTCCCGAGTATCTCGACTTTTTACGAATCTACAGAGCCTATCTCTCTTTCTCTCCCAGCTTCTGATCAAAACAGACAAAGAAGAAGAAGGAAAACCAGTTCGCGACGCTACTGTTCGCCGAGAGCAAGATCCACCTGTCTGTAGTCTGTATTCTTCCACCACTCCGATTTCGCCCTTTCGGCCTTCAGGCTTCGGCCGAGAGTTTCATGGGGCATACTGCAATCGACCTGGACCGCCCAAGCCCGAACATGTACGAGACACGGGGGGGTTCGAACGGAGGTCAAGCGCGGTGAGGGCAGGAGAGAGGGAGCGAGAAGAACGAGGTGCCAGAGAGGGGAAGGGGGGCAGAGAGAAGGAGGGAGGGCAGGGAGGCAAAGCCCCTTGGTGCCACAGTCGGGGAGGGTGGGAAGACGAAAGAGGAAAGCAGAAAGTGACGGGGGGAGCTTAAAGAAAGCCGCAAGGGTAAAGGAAACAAGAAATAAGAAAAAGATTGGACGTGGGTGTGGAGGGGAGGTGGTTTAAAAAAACACGCTTTTTCGTCCCCTTTCTATCCTGAACCATCGAAGAATGGGAAGAAGCCAAAAGACGATGTTTATTACAGATACCCCACCGGGGCCGGGCGCCAAACACTATCATCCCCGTCTCACAAACGGGCTTTCGTCCCGATAACGAGCCTTTCTGGTTTGGACAGACCACAAACTCAAACGACCAGATGGCACATGCGAGGAGGAGAAAGCTCCCCAGCCACCGGAGCAGGCTGTTACCGACACAGAATCAGGTGAGCACAGATGCTTCATAAAAATAGTTGCTACGGCGGATGGTTCTTCTACAGAAGACAATGGCATATTTCTGTGTTGTGGAAAAAGTCGGTTGGAATAGTGCTCGCATGCGCATTCGCAAACAAGTCTTTTCGAAACCTCGGGCAAGGACTTAGAGAAGGGGACAGTGAGATCAGGAAAACAAAACGACCACTCGTTTGCATTAATTCGAGACTACAAAACCTCCGCGGAGGTCCAAGAACCCGTCTTCTTTCACCATCTTCAAGTACATAGCCGTAGTAGTTGCGACAGAATAGGTCATAAAACAGAAGTGTCAAGAGCTTTGAAAACAAAACCAAGTCTTCGATCGACGCAGCTCCATGCAACCAACAAGACCCGTTTCCATCCATGCCATGAAATTCCCCCACGAGAGAAAAAGTAGATGTGGGAAATAACGAAAACAACTGTTACCAAATGCCGCATATCGTGGCGCTTCTTGCCGACCCCCCCTCAATAGGACCCCCAAAGCGTGACGACGAATATCAAGTCTCATCACCAAGTACACAGCGCAACTTCCTCCAATGCTGCTGCGGTGTGTCGGCCGACACAAAGATAAAACAAGGCCAGTATGATTTGGCTGCCGACGTGCAGATGGAAAGGGGTCCTCGTCCATGTCGACTGCTCAAGAGCAAATGCGATCCTGCTACCCTGGGAACAAGGATACACCCCAGACCACGAGCAAACCTTAAAACTATACCGCGACTTATCCCCTTAGCTTTGTCGCCTCCGCGGTTCTTCGCTTTCGTGACAACCTTGAAGCCAAGTCGGGGAAGTTCCCGGTCGTTCGGCACGGGCCAGAGTGGTAACCTCCCACCCATAGAGCTGGGGGAACTGCCATTCGTCAAGTTGGAGGTGCTAGTTGCTGTCCCTCAAAGCTAAATCTCGACTTGAAATTGCTGCAAGTGCTCGACTAGGCAAAAGATCGTGATCTCCCTTGTCAAGCCTGCCTACTATGGCTGGCGCTGAGTGATGGCGGCCGATGTCATGAGAATGCCCTCAGTGCGCACAAGTCGTAGTCTGCAACTAAACTTGCTGCTGAGTCAACCTCCGCTGCCTCAGCCGCGCGGCAGGAGAAACGACGCGTGGACGGTGTGTTCGTATGGTATCGTATTCGAGAGGATGAGAGGGACTAACTAACACAGTGCGCGAAGCGAGTCGGCGACAAGAAGACGATGGTATCAAATTGAAGTCGAAATTGCCCGCGTGCCCACGGCGAGGAAACCAAAAATAACAAAAAGTCGGGGAGACAAGAGACAAAAACATGTTGTCGAGTGGTAATAAAGTCAAAAGAAATCGAATACAAGGCCAACCAATGTTGCAAACAGAAATGCATCCTCCCATGATGCAGATACCAGAAAGAAACCAACAGAGAACGCAGTACAGTGATAATCAATTCCCCTCCTGACCTGAGATGATGTGTTCCCGGATCCCCTGCGACTCCTCTATTCATCCCTTCTCGGCCAAAATGCTGTACGAAGACTGACAGGCCGGCGGCCCAAAAGCACATAGCCTCCACCTAACTGTATGCTTGGGTATCCTTCAGAGGGCAGCAGAAAAGCCTGCCAAACCGGCGAAAGTCAGGAGTCGCCGCCGCGTATATAAGAGAAACGAAACTAAGGATTGTTGCCAGAATACTGACAAAATGAAGAGCACAAGAGGGCAAGAAGACGATAACGTCGTGTTTCTTAAGTTCATTGGGGTTGGTTTGTCCACCACTGTGCAGGTGTCTGTTGATTCGACCACGCCTGCGTAACCGCTGGAGAACCTTGGTTCGGTTGAGGCATGTACTGGCGAGGAGTCTGGTCTGTGGGGTACATTGCCTGACCCGCACCGTAGTTCTGGCCCATACCCGGCATGCCAGGAAATTGCATCGCTGGCTGGACACTGCTCGTCGCGTGCCGAAGCTGAGGCGCTGGTGATTGCTGATGCGACTGCTGATTCTGCGTCGTGTAGCCCGAGTAGTTGTGCTGAGGCGTTTGTTGTGTCTGGGGCCACATTTGGCCGGACGCAGGATAGTGGTAGCCCTGAGCCCCCTGCGGCATATTGCTCGCACTCCCTGCTGCAGGCAAAGTCGTTGGCTTGTTGTTCTTTTGGGAAGATGGTTGGGCCATACCTCTCATCGGAGCCTGACTGATCGGATTCTGCGCGTGTATCGACTGGGAGTAAGGTGGGGCCGTCATCATCATTTGCGGGCTTTGGTTAGGCACAATACCAGACTGTGGCATGCCACTGGCAGATGTGTGGGGTGACTGCGTTGCACGCGTCGTCGGGGCTGCCGCGTCGCTCGTAGATACAGCTTGCGCCAGGTTGGAGGACTGGGGTTGCTCATGGGGTCTCCTCCAAATGCCCTGAAGATAGTCTCCACGCATGTCACGTTGCTGATTGAGCGAACGGTTGTACTCAGCAGCGTGGTGCGCCTGGGCGTGAACCTCTCCAATCTGGGCAGGGCGTGTTTGGTCCTGGTAAGCCGGGCCGGTAATTTCCTGGCGGGGACCGCCTTTGAGGATGCCGCTGTAATCGCGAGGGCGGTTGTCACTGAGCTCTGATCCTAGTGTTATCACGGGCATTCTGGTCGTTGTTCCGGTTGGCGCTCCAAGCATACCTGGTTGGACGATCTGGGGTTGGGGGGCGCCGGGGAACTGGCTGGGAGTGTTGCTGTAAACGATTTCTCCGTGCGGACCTCCCATCATGACCTGGTTTTGCGCCTCGGCGGCA